ACAGCCATCCGGGGCGCAAGAACGCAGCGGTGATCCCTGAGTACGCAAGCTGCGGCTGCCAGACCCAGTGGGGCAGCGATTGTGGACCAGGGCAGAGCTCGCAGCCCAGGAGCCCGGGGAAGGGTCTGGGCCCAGGAGAACTGAACTGCCGCCATTGATTCCCCCCCTGCCCCCGCCCCCACATATAATGTCACAATCTAGCGACTGGGGCGCCCAGCCCCTGTGAACACCTAAGGCTCCGCCCCCCACTGTAACAAGAGCGACCAGACCGGAAAAAAAAAAATAGGAGAAACAGGGAAAGACATAAGACATGTGTACAACAGAACAGATCAGTCCCCCAGGACTCATCCTTTTGAGCGACCAAGAAATAGCCAATCTATCAGATGCACAGTTCAAAACGCTGGTGATCAGAAAGCTCACGGAATTGGTTGATTTTGGGCGCAATTTAGATGAAAGGATGCAGGTTACCATAAAAGAGATGCAGGAAGATACGTGGAGGAGACCCAATAGAGAAAGGAAGGAATCTGAGTCTCAAAACAATACAGTGGACCAGAAGGAAGATAGAATCAACCAAGCAGGAAAGCATGATGAAATAAGAATTCAAAAAATCGAGGAGAGCCTTGGGAGCATCCAAGACACCTTTAAACGTTCCAACATTCAAATTATAGGGGTACCAGAAGGGGAGGAGCAACAAGTGGAAAAGTTATTTGAACAAATAATAAAGGAGAACTTCTCCAATCTGGCAAAGGGAACAGTCTTCCAAGAAATCCAAGAAGCTCAGAGAGCCCCAAAGAAGTTGGACCCAAGAAGAAACACACCAAGGCACATCATAATTACATTAGCCAAAGTAAAAACGAAGGAGAGAATCCTAGAAGCAGCAAGAGATAAGGGGACAGTAACCTACAAAGGAGTTCCCATCAGACTGTCAGCTGATTTCTCCAAAGAGACCTTACAGGCAAGAAGGGGGCTGGAGAGAAATATTCCAAGTCATGAAAGACAAGGACCTACATCCCAGATTGCTCTATCCAGCAAAGCTCTCATTTAGAATGGAAGGGAAGATAAAGTGCTTTTCAGATAAGGTCAAATTAAAGGAGTTCATCATCACCAAGCCCTTATTTTATGAAATGCTAAAGGGACTTATCTAAGAAAAGAAGATAAAGAAAAGACATGTATAGTAAAAGGACAGAAAATTCACAATTATTAACAACCACACCTAAAGCAAAACCAAAAGAAACTAAGTAAACAACTAGAACAGGAACAGAACCACAGAAATGGAGGGCACATGGAGGGCTAGCAGCAGGGGGGGGGGTGGGAGGAGGGGGAGGGGGGGAAAAGGTATAGAGAATAAGTAGCATAGAATGTAGGTTGAAAATAGATAGGGGGAGGGCAAGAATAGTACGGGAAAGGTAGAAGCTAAAGAACTCATAAGAATGACACATGGACGTGAACTAAAGGCGGGGAACGTGGGTGGGAGAGGGGGTACAGGGAGGAGGGGAGGGAAGGGGGGAAATGGGACAAATGTAATAGCATAATCAATAAAATATATTTTAAAAATAAAATAAAACATATTTTTTAAAAATCTATAAATTAATCTTTGGTGAACAAACATTCAAAATACTGATTTTGCTGGTTATGATATTTTCCCTCATAATTTGCCCTGACACATTTACTCATTTTCTTCTCCTTAAAACATATATTGTCTTAATTCTTTCATTTTTACTTAAAGATAGTAAAACAGAGGGACATGCTTGTCTCCACATAATAATACCCACAAAGATATTACCTATATATGAATATACACTAAGAACATGATTTCAGGCTTTTCTGATTATAAAATTATATATACTAGCAAAATATTTAAAATACTTGGAGATGTTTAAAGAAGAAAACAGGATCTGTTTCATATTTATATAAATACTGTATGTTTCTGTCAATATCTGTTTTATGTTGATAGAGATATTCTATCTATATCAGTATAGATATTATTGATAAAAATATATGATTGTGGTATCATAGCACCTTTCTGATGTAAGAAGCTGCTGAGGTGACAGCCACAGAAAATCATTAAGAGATCTTAGGCACCAATAAATCATATATGTGTCAAATGAGGCTAATTACACACGAACCTTTCCTTGTCAGAATGTGGATCAAATGCACAGTGGGGTAGCTGAAGGAAATGTGCCCACTCTGCACACTGATTTAGAGGATGGACATTTGCTTAAGGAGTGCCTCTTACAGGAGTTCCCAAATCTGCTTCATCATCCAAAACATTTGGTCACATTAAAAGAAGTGGAATTCCTCTGAATAGAATTTGAATCTGAAAGCTCACTAGCAATAATGCAGATCATTTTCTGGAAGAGCTTCATATTTATTAGCTAATGGTGATTTTCTATTTTCTTTATAAACAATTCCACCTGAAAGTCTCAGAGTTGCTTTCTGTAAAAGCGACAAGATTTTTTAAAAGCCCTTTTGTTTATTGTCTTTAATATAATGGTTTCTATTGTGGAAGTGGTTTATAAAATGCATTACATTTTACAATTGTCTGTTTTTCTTCAGGTGTTTCTGTGGTTATCCATGAAGTACAAGAATAACATTTAACATTTATCGAGTGCTTACTCTGTGTCATGCAGCATCCCATTTAATTTACATGTATATCTCCATAGAAACTCATGCAGTTCTCTCAATAGTTACATATAGTAAATCTTATTCTCAGATTCCTTTCATGTGATGAGGAAAACGGGAATAAGTTGTCCAATACTACTCAGGAGTAAAGCTAGGACTTGAATCCCACAGGCTGATTCCAGTCTTCCTTTTTTATATTTAGATCAGTATTTCTCAAAGTATGAATTTTGTAAAGTTAATTGCACAGGATGTTATTAAGGGATTTTTTAAAGAAAAAAGTGTGAATTAACTAAATAAGGTTGGAGAATATTGGACTAAACAAATGGGTTTCTTTCCTGAAGGATTTCTCAGAGTACCTAAAAGGTCATACACTCTATAAATCTCTAAAAGACAAACATGGAATATAACATTTCCCAGTCCTCCTTGAACACGAAACTCTTTTTGGTCAAGTCTTTTTTGACTGGCCTGCAAACTAAATCTATAAAATAATCACCTGCAAATCAGTGGTTAGAAAAGTGGTTTACAAACCTCCCTGCCAAGTGAGGCCGTTTTTATTTCCCTTTTACATGACAAAAGGAAGATCTGAGAGCTGTTAAAGACTGTAAGTTGCCACTGTGTACCTCTGCTATTTACTTTATAAATGATTATTCAGGTAAATTGGTAATAACTTTCTGGGGAATCATTTAGCTATATAAATGAAAAGCCTCTCAACCTTAGAGAGTTCAACATAAACCATTGAGGTAAGAAGAAAATATTAGAACATCAATTTAAAACTTTACTCTTTTTCATGTGTTTTGTTATATATGTGAATGTGTATAAAACATATGCCAAAATTATAAATTTATTTCTAAATATTTATTACTGCTATAACATATAAGAATATATTTTTTATTATATACCAAGTATATACTATATTTATAAATTATGTATTATATTGCAATAAGAAAATGTATATACTTTGCAAATAATTTTATATATACATATATGTATATATGATGGGTTACAATAATATTGTAGTAGTAAAATATATGTAAAATACACAATAGCCTAGAAAAAAACTAATTTTCTAAGAAAAGAAAAAATTACAAGAGATATTAAGTTTATATGCCTAGCAGAAAGGACTGCAATGATAAACCAAAATGTTAATAGTAATAAGATCTTAGTAGTGAGATAAGGGGAAATTTTTATTTTCTTTGTGCTTTTCTGTGTTATCCTAATTTTGTACAATAAAATGTATTTTAATAAATATTATATTCACAACATTCAAATTTTGACAATTACAAAAAGGTATATAGCAACAAAATCTTTTTCCTGGGTTTCTCAGACAACCCATTCCCTCAAAATTATACAAAGTTATTGGTTTCTTGTGTATCTTTCCAAGGATGCATTATGCATTATGTTGATACAATCTATTTATATATACATATTCTTTTTACCTTTTATCACACAAGTAATAGCATACAATACACAGTTTTTCACTTTGCTATGTTAAATAATCTTGTACACCTGTCATTTCACCCATGTGGGGATAGATCCACAGGATAAAAATATAGATGCAAATTTCTAAAACCTTTCTTTAATCCTAAAGACTCAGATAAAAAATTATTCAAGTAGAATGGTTAGTTCAAAAGAAATTTACATTTGTCATTTGGATAAATATTGCCATTTGAAAATTATTGCTATATCCCAAAGCTATGAAAATATCTTCTCATGTTCTCTTTTGGCACTTTAATGTTTGTTTGTTTTTTGGGGTGTGTGTGTGTTTTATGCTTCAATTTAGATTATTTTACATTTATTCCAGCTTAATGAATACTTAAGAAAAACAAATTATTTAACATATTAAACTGCCCACTCATAGTGGAAATTCAAGTGCTGGTTGTCCCCATCTGTTAGATCACAGGATCTAGATGCAAATAAGAACGACCTGCAAAGGTTCAGCTTACACAGCAGATGAGCACCAGCCAGACCTCTGCTCTGCTGTGTGCTGGTTATTTGCTGCCAGAGCCACATTGTAATGAAGAGACATATTCCTTCACATGAGTTTTTCACATCAGTAGAACCCAAGCTGCTGTTTGGATTTTCCTCCTGAAATATTGTAAGTTGCTTTAATCATTTAAATAACAAAGAAATGGTCTTCCTGTGTAGTGGGGTATGTGTATGGGGGGTGTGAATTTGTATATGACAGTGTGAGAGTACATAAGAAAGGAACCCTTTATTCTTGCAGCAATTCTGTAGACCTGTTTCTCACTGGCAAACCTTAGCAGCTGCACTGAAATGTCAGATGGATTTGCACAGCTGACTCAAGTCGCTGAAAAGAGAGCAGCATAGCAGCTCCATAAACTGACCATCTCCAGCCAAGCCCTGCTTAATATAGACATGGAATGAGCTCAGCCTCAGTCACTCCTTGCTGCTCAAGCAAGCATGACTGGGGTTCTTGGGAGGAAAGTCTCTCAAAGAGATGTTGACCTGGGATACTAGTTAACTGGGGAAACTTTTTGAGAGGTTTTTAAAAATCATCTTTAATTATTTCTCTTTTTCTAGTAAAATAGAAAAAAATACAGAAAAAAAAATCATGTCCAAGCACAGCAGGAATTCAGATCAAGAAGAACAATTTGATGAAGAGATTGATGAAGATGAAATCTTGGCCAACTTGTCCCCAGAAGAGCTGTTAGAACTGCAGTCGGAAATGGAAGTCATGGCTCCTGACCCCAGGCTTCCCGTGGGAATGATTCAGAAAGATCAAACCGACAAGCCACCAACAGGAAGCTTCGACCATAAGTCTCTTGTTGATTATATGTATTGGCAAAAGGCATCCAGACGCATGCTGGAAGATGAGCGCATTCCTGTCACCTTTGCACCATCCCAGGTAACCAGGGATTTGTGAACAACAGAGAAAGGGTGCCTGGGCTGGCAGGTGTCCATGCGGCAACTGCCATTTCTCAAAATTTCATGTTTTGAATTGTTCTGTTGTCGCTTAAAGATGAAATTGTAATGTTTACTATTGGAAATTTCTGAAACACCTATAAGATATAGCTGTGAGAAAAAAGTTGATAATTTTGTGTCAATACGTCTGTTTTTTAAAAGTTGTTTGGTTTGCTGTATAGAAAAATCTGTAGTCTATAGTCATAAATTTAATGAATTAACTCATAACACAGAAGGAGCTGTCCTTAATTTTTGTTGGCTCACAGACCCCTTTAAAAAGCTAATGAAAGTTCTGTACACTTTGTTTCTGGCACATACATACATATGCTGTATTTCTCATACAATTTCAAGATCTTACAGTCCCTCTAAAGTCCATCCACATACCATACAATTAATCAAGTCAAATAACTGAAAATATCTAATTTCCCATAGTGCACTGGATATCAGTGATTAATTTAGAAATTAATAGCTATTAAGCTGTTTTAAAGATAGTTCTTTCTAAATGTTCTTACATGAAAGTAGAAGTGAAGTTAAATCTATGAATTTATTGTATATTAGCATGTTTTCTAATATGATAATACTAGGAAAAAATACAGAGATCCCAGGTAAAGTCTCTCTTAGTTATGCCTGCTGATATAGATAGATCTTGTCACATTACTGTCACACTGGCTGCAATTAGAAAAGTTGTAAACCGGTTTCATGGGCAAAAGAGTATAAACATGTAGTGAACTCAAGAAAATAAATTGCTGGCTTGGTAAGGTTGGAGTTTAAGGTACAACTTCTACACATTTTATAATTGGAGTAAAAGTCAATCCTATATGTACAATTTCAGAAAAAGAAAATCAATTGGGTACTTTTCACACTTTTTCTTCTCTTGGTAGAATTTAAACAGCTTGATGGCTGGCTCCCCCTATTGGGGAAGATGACAATTGCTAAGGTATTGTCAACTGTCAATCCCAATTTATAATTTGTTATGTGCAATAAGATCAAGTTCTTGTTCAGATGAACCTATGACTCCAACTGCTAACCACCTTTCAAAATGACACCTCTGAAGTAAACATATTGTATAGGAAAGTACACAAATTGATGGGCAACAATCTAATAAACATTATTGATAAAGACTGCCACTTTTCTTCCCAGACTAAGCAATTTTTTCTAAATCTCTGCATAATCCTGTCTCCCTGCTCCTACAGAGCAGAGCTGGCTCTGCCTCCTACACACCTTCCTTCAAAAAGGAACTGAACTAGTGAACCTGTCCTTGAAGTAGCCAGGGCAGTTTTTACAGAGCTGAGGAAACAAAATCAAAATCAAAATCAAAATCAAGGCTTTTGGTATATTCCAAAATATCAAACTGCTCTCATTTTCCCCACAATATTTTATGTTCTTAGGAAAACTTGATACATACAGTGTATTAGATTAGCTAGCAGATGAGGAATGTAAATTTTGGTTATGGCAATAAGGAAATTATTGTGTAATTAAGGGCTAGTGAATACAAAGGTGACTATTCAGCTGTAAACAAAACAGGGACTTCACTGTACTGGTAAACAACTCCATTAGGTTTTCAAAACAAATCAGTATTAGCTGCTTCTGGAAGTGTACAGCATTTTAAAAAACAATACTGAGTCTGAACACAAAAGGTACTATATTTCATTTTAATGTATAGGATGAGGTAAACATAGCCCCAAAATGGGCACTTATGTATGTGTGTTTCCGAAAAATTATCTTTATTTTGGTTTTATTTGCTTACAAAACTACTATGTGTTTTAAACTTTATTTAAAAGGCCCAATCACTCTAGGATTATATACTGTAACAAGTGACTATTCCCCTAAATGCTTCTTCTCAGTTATCTTAATGGTTACCTCTCTTCCTAAGAGCTAACTACTAATTTGGTGAACAATACAACAGACTTTTGCCTATACATTTATAAAATTTTATATGTTATATGTGTGTTTATGTGTATATGTACATACATACATATATAACAGAATACTATAGATACAGCTTATTTGCTTACATTTTTCTCAATAATAGATCTTTTTATTATCTCCAGTATATCTCTCTCTATTCTGTATTTCTTCACTGTTTCTTTTAGGAAAACACTGAAGAGCAGCATAAAGAAGTGAACAGAGGTGATATAAAAGTGTCCCAGTATTTAAAAGAAAAGCTCAATAATGAAATCATTGCAAATAAAAGAGAATCAAAGGGCAGCAACAATGTCCAAGAAACAGATAATGAAAATAATAATGAAGATGAAGATGATGAGGAGGATGAAGCAGATGAGGAGGATGAAGCAGATGAGGAGGAGGAAGAAGAAAGTGAAGAAGATGAAGATGAAGATGATGAAGAAAATGAGAGTGAAGGGAGCAGTGGAAAAGCAAAAAGAGAAGAGATAGGTGAAGGAAAGGAGCCAATTAGAAATGGCGAGAGCCACCGGCAGGCAGTTCACCGAGCATTTGAAGGACAAAAGGACAGACCAGAGGCCCGAGAGAAAATTGAGAAAAAGATATCAAAATTAGATCCTAAAAAGTTAGCTCTAGACACCAGTTTTCTGAAGGTAAGTGCAAGACCTTCAGGAAACCAAACTGACCTAGATGGAAGCTTGAGGAGAGTTAGACAAAATGATCCTGACATGAAGGAACTCAATCTGAACAACATTGAAAACATCCCCAAAGAAATGTTACTGGACTTTGTCGATGCAATGAAGAAAAACAAACACATCAAAACCTTCAGTTTAGCAAACGTGGGTGCAGATGAGAATGTGGCCTTTGCCTTGGCTAACATGCTGCGTGAAAACAGGAGCATTACCACACTCAACATAGAGTCCAATTTCATCACAGGTAAAGGAATTGTGGCCATAATTAGGTGTCTCCAGTTTAATGAGACACTGACTGAATTGCGGTTTCACAACCAAAGGCACATGCTGGGCCACCATGCTGAAATGGAAATATCCAGGCTTTTGAAGGCAAACAACACTCTCCTGAAGATGGGCTACCATTTTGAGCTCCCAGGTCCCAGAATGGTGGTGACTAATTTGCTCACCAGGAATCAGGATAGACAAAGGCAGAAAAGACAAGAAGAACAAAAACAGCAACAACTCAAAGAGCAGAGAAGGTTAATAGCCATGTTGGAGAATGGGCTGGGGCTGCCACCTGGGATGTGGGAGATGCTAGGAGGACCAATGCCAGATTCCAGGGTACAGGAGTTCCTTCAACCTCCTCCTCATCCTCCCAACCCCCCAGCAGTCCCTTTCAGTCGACGAAATGAAGTGATAAAAAAGCCATCACAATCCCCTCCTTGCAGGACAGACCCTGACTCCTTCCGGGGAGTGAAGCTGAAGAGAACCCAGCGCAAATCTCGGATGCCAGAAGCCAGAGAAGCACCTGAAAAAACGAACCTCAAAGATGTGATCAAAACACTGAAACCAGTGCCCAGAAATAGGCCACCTCCATTGGTGGAAATCACCCCCAGAGATCAGCTCTTGAACGACATTCGTCACAGCAACGTTGCCTATCTTAAACCTGTAAGTAGAAGGAGGGAGAAATGGTGAACAAGCACAATAAATGTATGGCAACTCTATTCCTGTCCATTTTACCACCAGGACAGTCTCACTAATTGTGACTAACTAGAGATCTAAATTATTGGTTATCCCCAAGGACATACACCTATGTAACTTCTGCAACAATATTAACATCTAACAGTTACTATGCACTTATGATAGGCCAAATTCACTATATTAGTTAACTCATGTAATCATCTTAACAACCCCATAAAGTAGGTATTAGTATTCTCCCCATTTCATTGAAAGGAACTAAGGGTTAAAGAAGTTAAATCACTTATCCAGGAGACACAGAGCTGACAATCAAGTCTTGAGGAATCTGATGTAGGCATAAGAATGAGGTCTAAAGAGGTCAGTCATTTGTAGATATCTGAGTGCTTCCAAATTACCTTAAGAGTTAGTTTGTTTTTAGTAGATAAGAGGGATGACTGGCATTGCATTTATACTTTTCACTGTTTAGACAGGCAGACAAATGGTAAAGCTCAGGTTAGTGTCACCACAAATTAATGGAGTTTAAAATATTTTATCCTTATTTCAGTTTTATTTTATTTTAAGATTTTATTTATTTATTTTTAGAGAGAGGGGAAAGGAAGGAGAAAGAGGGAGAGAAACACCAATGTGTGGTTGCCTATCATGTGCCCCCTACTGGGGACCTGGCCCTGCAACCCAGACAGGTGCCCTGGCTGGAGATTGAACTGGCAAGCCTTTGGTTCACAGCCCTCACTCAATCCACTGAGCTACACCAGCCAGGGCAGATTTCCAGTTTCTTGTTCTTTTCTCTTCTCTTTGTCACCACGATGATGCAAATGTTAGAATGCTTGAAGTTGTCCCAGAGGCTGCTTATACTATCCTCATTTTTTTAGATTCTTTTTCCTTCTTGTTCTGATTGTTGTTGTTGTTTTGCTTTCTTATGTTCCAAATCATTGATTTGATTCTTGGCTTCATTCACTCTACTGTTGTTTCCCTATAAATTATTCTTTATTTCAATTAGTGTATCCTTCATTTCTGACTGGATCTTTCTTTTTTTTAACTTTTTAAACATAGTTTATTGATTACACTATTACAGTTTTCCCATTTCCCCCCCTTCACTCCCCTCCACCCTGAACACCCTCTCCCACCCACATTCCCCCACTTTAGTTCATGTCCATGTGTCATACTTATAAGTTCTTTAGCTTCTACATTTCCCATACTATTCTTACCTTCCCCCTTTTTTCTACCTACCATCTATGTTACTTATTCTCTGTATTCCCCCCCCCTTCCTCCCACTCCCCTGTTGCTAACCCTCCATGTGATCTCCATTTCTGTAGTTCTGTTCCTATTCTAGTTGTTTGCTTAGTTTGTTTTTGTTTTTGTTTTAGGTGTGGTTGTTAATAATTGTGAGTTTGCTGTCTTTTTACTATCCATGTTTTTTACCTTCTTAGATAAGTTCCTTTAACATTTCATATTTCAGTTTTAATATTTACTATGATTCACTATCACTTCGACTCATATATGAAAATGTTCTTTTCCTTGTAGCTTAAATTACAGGAATTCATTCCTTCATCATTACTATGATACCATTTTAATTAACTACTATTTTAAAAATCTAATGTGGAATTTACCAAGAGATGACACTGACCAAATAGTTAATATATTATTTTATCATAGAGAATCACAATTTTTTCAAAATGTTTTAAACAAATTTCTATGTAAGCTGCTTATTTTTCTGCTTCAAAGAGCTATACATTCTAAAATAAGATAGCTATTACATATATACATATATGTATACACATATATATGTAGGTGCCTTATTCTTGTCTGCTAATAATGCACAAAAAAATTACTTTTATTCAGAGAGACTCTGACTTTTGCTGGAGCAGGAGCCAGAATGAGAACACTGGAGGTCACATGAGGTCAGGTGAAAGTTCTTTGCCTGGCCTTGACTTGCCACACCTGCTCTTCTTGTGGCAGTCAGACCTCAGTAGGGAGTGGGCAGGGGGTCATTTTGAGAGAAATTGTCACTTCTGTAACCAGTCATCAGTAAAACATATCCAAGCTGCCTTGGTGGCTACACAGTCCAAAAAGTAACATTAGTCTGAAAAGAATGAAGAGAACTCTTTTTAAAATCTATATTAAAGATGGCGTGTAGATTCAGAGTAGAAGAGAGAATGAAGTTCAAATGGTCATCTGATCCAACTCCCTGCATTCTATGGGAATATTCTACTGAGCAAATCTACTTCCCTGGAGTCTGTTCAGCTCCAACCATTCACTCTCTCATTACGCAACAAATATTTGCATGGTGCTCCCACATGCCAGGTGCCTTCAGAGGGGTCAGGAGTACAGCAATGAATAAGACCTGTACAATCTCCATATCATTGAGCTTACAATGTAGGTTTTACAACATTCACAGTCAAAATACTCTGCCTTTTACTCAACTGAAAACACTTGTTTTAAATCCAGATCCTAAAGTAAAAGACATTAAAATAAATTTGTGATAATTGCAAAATGTTCCACCCTACTAAATATTACACTTTACCTTTTCAATCAATTCTAAAGTGTTATCCATTTTAAGTTGTGTTTTTTAACGTCCACTAAGAAAGAAAAGAATGTTTCAAAATACACTCTCAACTTATTTGTGAATGACAGTCTTGCATATTGACCTCTGCATCAGAATGGCTTTTATGTGTTTTAAGGGATTGGCAATTTCAGCTGCTTTCTGTACCTGGCTTAGCCTGCATGTACCTTGGATACAAAATGTCACACAATATCATCTACATGGTCTTGTAAAGTGTTCTGTGAGGAAAATGAAAATGCATTTTTCCACTGGTAAAAATTCATTTCACTAATGTCAATTTGCTCCCCCTTGCTCTGTTTTTGTGCCTTCCTACATACACAATAAATTTCTGCTTTAATGCCGTACCATAGTGTAATCTTTAAAATATTTCTTAAATCCCTTTATTTTGAAATTATTTTAGACTTACAGAAGTTCAAAGACAGTACAAAAATCCTTTCATACCCATGACATTTTGCCACATTTGCTTTATCATTCTTTAAAAGGTTTTTAAATAGCAATGCACTTGTGCATGGTTAATGCCAACAGGGGGCCTCAATGTAGGCAGAAACAGTAAGACGAAAGGCTCTGATGTGTCTGTGTTTACACATGCAGCCAACTATTGTAAATACCACTGACTGTTTTCAGGATGGTTGAAATGTCATAAAATGTGCATCTTAGACTCAATGAAATACGATAAATGCCACCAGTGATGATGTAAAAAAAATCCCAGTAAAAAGGGGTATTTTGGGCCAGTCAAATGAGACACAACAAAGCTCATTTGGAGAAGGTGAAATGAAAAGTTTGGGGGTTCTCTGCATTGAAGGCCAGAGATGCCCTCCAAACCCTTGGATGTTCAAAGATGAGGTTAAAATTAAAATACAATTCTGAAATCTTGTGGGATGTTTATCACTGATGTTCCTAACTAGACTACTAAATGCCAAAAATGTACTTACAAATAAGTTATTCCTGGAAAACTTAAAAAAGAAAAAGACTATTTTCATCTCATGGACTTAGAAATATTATTTTTGTATTTTCTAAAGTATATGTCATTAAGTAATCTGTTTATATTTTAAGATTGTATTTTTTCATTTGAATGTTTATTCTCTCCACATGCTTCTGGCCCAAGATATCTGCCAGCAGAGAATAAGGAAGCTGCCAGCAGAGAATAAGGAAAATCTGTTACTTGCTTAGCTCACATGTTATCTCCTCCAAGAAGCTGCCCATTTAATTCAGTTTAAAAGAGATATATTCTGTAGGCCAGGTATTGAAAACTGGTGGCCTACAGGCCAGATCTGAAAGCCTATTTTATTTGGCTTGGGTATTATTATATAAAATAAAAAAATCACATTAAAAATCTCAGCTATCTAGCACCACTTGAAACCTCATTTCTGGCCCCACTGGGCTTGCATTTCACAGCACAGATTAGGGGAGCTATGTACTGGCTTCTTTGGTCTCTCAGTCCCCACCATGTCCTGCTGCCTAGCCTAACACCTAGCCTGCTCCACTTATTTTCATCACTGCTCCCATATAATTTTTAAAATTCGGTTGCTCTTGTTGTTTTCAGCTGTTTTAAAAGTCTTTGTGTTAACTATCAAAGTGAATTTATGAGATAATGAGTATGAGTGAATAACTTTTAATCAATATGATAACAGCCCAAAACAAAGACATTAGGTTTGTACAGGCTTATCCCTCAAGGCAAATACATGATTTCCTTTCACTCAAAAATTCTGTGGTTCATTCACTGCCCACCAGCTCAGATGAGTATTTATACTTTTCACTGAGGCTTATTGTATGTATGTCACATGCAAGCTTCTGTGCCAAGCAGGGTAAGTTTTAACTTCCCTGTTTAACTTTGGGCTTCCAGCCAGTGCCTAAAGACAGTGCTAAATTCTCTTTTGGAAAGACTTCAGTTTAATAATGACAAGAACAGCTTTCCTTAGCCAAAAGAGTCTATGACACCTGAACAATCCTTACAATTACAACATGTAAGATTATAGACTCTCAAGTCTTCATTTCCATCTCTGGCCATTTCTTCTATCTCTCATTTATAAAATCTTCTTTCTCTTTAACTAGGTTCTCTAGATCCTCTCTTTCTGCAATTTTCTCCTCTTCTCTTCTCCTTTGTTTCAGTTACCACATAATCTGAGATGATTCCCAGATCTCCTTTTCAATTTATATCACTCAGGGTTTTCTTTCCCCTTCATTCAATCTGTCCCCAAACCAAATTCTTCATTTTTAGGCCTGATCATTTTTTCTGGTTCCCATTTTCCCTTGTATCTCCATCCTTTCACATATTCCAGTCTAAAGCCCCAGAGCTATCTTTAACTCCTATTTTCCTGCTCCTATTTCTTGCCTCCAAAAAGAACACAGGAGAATCTACAAGCCCCAAAGCCTAAACTGCATTATTGCGTTCAAAATGTTCTACTCCTTATAAAGGGAATCTCTCCATAGGAGAAAGCAATGTAACCTTTCAAATTCATCTCAAAAGAGCATATACTCAAGAGGAATTGTATAGACCCTAAAATGCCTTTCTCAAACACCTAGAGAGAAAAAGATACCAATACCTACAGTTTTTGATACAGGGTAGGGCCAAAGTAGGTTTATAATTGTGAGTACTCAAAACAGTTTATTGTTGTGTTACTATTTATCAGTTATTGTATTATTTTCCATGTGAACAACTGTAAACCTACTTTGGCCCCACCCTGTATATTGTTTTTCTAACATCTGTGGGAGTGATTCTCAAATTTTAGTATGAATCAAAATCACTTGGAAGGCTAAATACAGATGACTGAGTCCACCCCTAGAGGTCCTGATTGAATAGATCTTGATTGAATAGGTCTTGATTTAATAGGTCTTGGATGGGGCCTGAGAATTTGCATCTCTGACAAGTTTCTTGGTGCTGCTGCTTATTTGGTGACTGTACTTGGACCACCATGGCTCTAGGACATTCATGGCAATCCACATTCCTGATATTTTCCCTGACAGACCTTCTTTTCTTGCCTCCATACCACTCTCTGATCAAATTACCTTTTATTTTATCTCTATCTGTTGAAATCTACCCAGAGAAATCTGATTTCTCCCAACAACAAAAGAAACCACACAGAACATCAGGAGTGGGTTTCCACTGCCCCTATCTGTACCTCTGTCAGCATCTCCCACATTCTGCTTCAGGTTGGGAGAGCCCTTACGTGGACACAATGTAAGTCTCCTCAGGTCTTCCTCACCCCTATCCTGGACACCCACTGGGGTGTTGATCCAGAGCAGGAATTCACCCAGGTGTGAGGAATTAAATACCCTCTGCTGAAATGGATCCTTCCACCCTGCCCAACCATTCCCATTCGCTTTGAGTTTATGTATGTGTAATGCCATACATACGTGTGCATAGTGCATACTGTTGAGCAAATTACTTATGCTGTCTGAGCCCGTACACTCTTTACAAGGCTGTTGTAGGATGAAATGAGAAAATGTTTTAAAAATAAGTGTTACAAAACAAACAAACAAAATGGAAACACGCAGTTACAGAGAACAGACTGACAGTTGATAGAAGGGAGGAACATTGGAGGACTGGGAGAAAAAAGTGAAGGGATTAAGAACTACAAATGGGTAGTTAGAGAATAGAGCTGGGGATGTAAAGTACAGCATAGGGAATATAGTCAATAATATTGTAATAACTATGTATGGGGCCAAGTGGGTACTTGAAATATTGGGGGAACCACTCTATAAAGTACATGATTTTCTAATCATTATTTTGTACATCTGAAACTAATGCAGAATATTTAATGCTAACTGTAATTTTAAAAAGTTTAAAGGAAAAGAAAAAATAAGTATTAACATTAATTACTAACTTATATTATTTAATCCTTAAAATAGCCTTGTGAGTTAGATACTATTATTGTCATTTTATGCCTGAGAAAATTGATGCTCAACACCACACAACTAGTAAGCGCTAATCCCAAGAGTTGAACACAGGTGGCTCTAGCACTTGCCCTCTTGTTTCGATAATATGCTTCACTAGGTGCTCAAAGCCCTTGGATCACTTCCTGTGATCAAATGCCCAGTGAATGGCAGCTGTGGTTGTTGTTTTATCATAATTTTGGGGCTGTCTAGAATTTCTAATCCGCTATGCATCTTTTGAGGTGTGTAAGTGTTGTCATTCCTGCTGTAAAGCTCTTGAACTTCCAGGATTAATTTTTCCCTTTTATTTAAATGCTAAATCACAGGTGCAACTGCCAAAAGTACTGGAATAAGAAGAGGCAACAGAATAATCTAGAAGAACAGAAACTGAATTAATGACTCTTGGATTAGAGCTTGTGCATCAGCAGCATAGTTCTGGGTCCAGGTGGAACTGGGAACAATGCTAATATCTGATGGGGGAATTTTATAAAAGGCAGAATGCTTAGCCCATGAAAAAATAGTGGCTGAAAAGGAAAGGGAAGGAGATTAAATATTAACATTCAGGGGCAATGTTTTCTACTTCCAATCAGTTTGAGTAACTTCAGTGAAATTTAACCATGTTTCCAGCACGGAAGTTAAAAAAAAACTTTTTTGTAAATATTTGCTTTACAATTGCTTTCTTCTGCTGAATAACAATAAATACAATAGAAGTGTTTATTATAGTTCCATTTTTTTTATCTTCCATCTCTTCTGCTATAATTCACCACATAGTATCTTAAAGGAACAAACCATATTTCACCTATGAAAATGTGATGGGTAACGACCTCCAGGCCCTTCTGATGCTTTGAAATGGAAAAATTGTAAATTAGCTTTTTTCTCAGACTCAGCTGACGTTTCCATTTTCCAACCCTGCCATGCTTTCTCCCTTGGCCATTCCCCTGGTGTTTTGGGACATACTTCTAATGGAGGTATCTGTGACAACCTAAATGTTTAAGCCACAGGGTGTGAAGAAAACAAAGTGTCTCCTGAAAAACTAATAGAGAAAACAAACCCTTCCCTGTTTCCATACATATAGGAACACTGGGAGACAGCATGCTACCTTTGTAGAAAAAAATTTTTATAAATAATATAGTAATTGAGAGACTTTTGGTTTTAGCTAACTATATTTTGTTTGTTCTTTTTAAGTTTAGTCTGTGAATCTAATTTGATCATGTTTGATCATGTCTCTCCTGAATCTTCTAAGTGAAACTTACTGTGTATGGGATTAAACTAAAGTTTCTTATCCTGTCACATAAGGCCCTCAGTGGCCTGGCCCTAATGTACTATCCAGTCTTATTTGCCACAAGTCCTTCCTCATGGAATTCCTATGTTTTTACTCTCATCAGCCCCTCTACAGAGTAGCCCCCAGAGATTTCCCTCTCACTCTCCACATATGAAAGTCCTGTCCCATCTTTAAAGCCAGGCCAGGTCCCAATCCTCCACAAAATTCTTCCAGACAACCCCAACCCATGTGTTCTTTCTTCCTGCCAAGTTCCTAGGGCCCTACTTAGTTACCTGTTTTAGTCATTAGGTGCATAGAATCTGAAATTTTGTATAGAAGCAGCATGAACCCTAGAAACCAGAAAATCACAATTTGATGTCTTTTCTCACTTCCTCACCTGAGTAAATAACTGGCACCTGTCCTGTTTCTTTTATACAATCACAGGTGCTAGACAACCAGTCAAAATTAGAAAAATGGATCAAGTTTAAAACAATACACTATTTGGAAGGACAAGCCATGGTAAAGAAATAGGGTATTTCTATATTTTAAAGCTAATTTAGTGTGTACAAAGTATCCAAGTTTAAACTGTTATAGTTATCAATTAATTTTAGAATGGCCAATAGCTGATAGCTTTGTTTTATCCTGCTTTATTATTTCTATAAAACATCCTTGCATATAAAGCAGGATAATTAAGAAAGAGCTATAGTAAATAAGATCTTTAAGTGTCTAGCCCATTCTACAACTAAACTCTGATAAGACAAAGTGTTCGCATCATATTTAAAAACTTAATGCATATTAGTGGTTGAAGTTCTGGAAAGCCTTTACACATTTGCTTATACAGCCACAATGTTGATAAAGTCAGCAGTTTCAAAAAGTGCTAATAGTCCTGAAGGGACACTTTAATCTTAGATGTGTAAAAAGTGGACATGACCCAAATTCATAGAGTATTGCCTCAACACACAGGTTTTGTCAAGAAGCAGGTTCACATTATGCTTTTTCTATCTACTCATTCCTATGCTAAAAATCTCTAAATTGAATATTTTAATGTTTTTAAAATGTAATAATTTCCCCCCAAATATTTGCTTCTTGCCTGATTGAGAGGAGGTCTCAAGACTTCAAATGGCAGTCATTGAGCTCTCACCCTGCCTGTTTAGATAGATGATGTGAAGTGGGTATGGGGGCTCAAGGGCTATTACTGCCATTTGAAAAGAAATACTCGCCATACATGGATACAGCCTTAATGTGTTTCTGACATTTCAGTGATAGCAAACCATGCACAAAATGGACAGCTGAGTTAACACTGTGAGGAGACAAAATAATGAGAAGTTTTTCCAAACATAATGAAATATCATATAGTGTCTGTATTTTTATGATTGATCTGAGAGCATTCTTAGAAAGCTGAGATCCAGGGTAACAAAAACCCAGGGCATTTTTGGAAATTGTATGCTCTCTAGCAATTTTGTGTGAATTTTTATATAAATACTGTTTTACAGTCATAGAAAATGTTACAAAAATAGATAACCATGTAATAGTTTATAGCATTTACATACTACTTTTCCAGAATTGATATTAATGTTACTAATTATAATAATTACATTTTCAAAATTCAAGTTGACATTTTCCCCAAGTTTCTTGTGTTTAGTCAGAGAAATCACTATGCAGAAAATGGAAGGAGCTAAAATGTATATAAACCCATATCAGGTTTAGAAAAGGATCTCATTGGGACATCAAAATTACAACTAAATTACAGAACCACCATCATTTAGAATCATCTGAAATATAGCTGAATGGAAGTCGTACAACTAAGGAGATAAAGAAGCCACATTGAGACTGGTAGGAGGGGCAGAAACCCAGTACAGACTGGTCCTACACCCATGTGTGGTAGATAAAAATCAGGAGGGATAGCTTGGCTGTGGAGGTCACCCCTGAGGAGCAAAGGGTCCCAGCCCCACATTAGGACCCCCAGCCCAGAGTTCTAGTTCCAGGAAGAGAAGTCATCATAACTTCTGAGTGTGAAAATCTGTAGAGATTATGGCTGAGTGAGATGCAGGCTTCTGGAGTCTAAGAGGTTCCTCTTAAATGCCCGATACACAGGTATTCACTCAGACTCACTTTCTCTGAGTTCCAACACGGGGGCAGCAAGGACACACAGGGAAGAACCAAATTATCCAGCATCAGGGTAAGGGCTGGAGAGGCAGCTTTCTTCCAGAAAGAAGTGCCAGCAAATGCCATTGTTCCTTTGATGAGCCCTCCTCCTACACTGCTCAAAGGTGGGCACCATATGAGTCTCCATCAACGTGGCTAACACTGTTTGCCCCACCCCACTGATTCCCTGAAATCCCTCCCTACCCAACTTGTAGGCCCAACCAAGCTCCTTCCAGTGGCTTTTCCATACAAATGACCTGTCTTGGCTCATGCCTCAGACTTTCCTAAAATCTCTCAAACAAATATCTGGCCTCAACATGGCCCACACCTCTTGCTAAGTGGCCCCAGGCCTGGCACTAGCAGTAGCCTGCCTTGGTTCACAGCTTGGCCTAGCCTGGGCACCTCCAAACCCAACACAAGTAGCAGCCATCTGAAGATCACTTTGTAGCTCATGTTGGGTGGCCCAAAACAGAACACAGGTGGTGTCTGACATTGGCTTGCACTTCCCAGGAGGCTCCAGAGCCACTGCACTGGACAGTGGTATGTGGACAGATTCATACCACATTGAAGCATCACCCAACCATGTCCACAAGCAACACACCCAAGGGGCAGACTCAGTGAGCACCAGAGCCTCATTTAAGTAAGTCCTGCTCCAAGGGCTGTGCTCTTGCACAGCTAGTCTCCCATGGTGGTGACAGCCAGTCTTTGCAGCTGACTGGCCTGGGGGTAAATCTCTCCCACTGACATGCCAACAGCAATCGAGACTCAACTATAATAGAAGGATATACATGGGGTGTTCACTTGGAGCACCCAGTTTGGGTGATCAGGAAGGCTGTGCCACTGGTCCTTAAAGGAGGACACCTCCTACATTATGCCACTCCACCAAGACCAAGAGATGTAGCAACTCTACATAATGAACAGAAACAAACACAGGGAGGCTGCCAAAATGAGGAGACAAAGAAACATGTCCCAAAGGAAAGAACAGAGCAAAACTCCAGAAAAAGAACTAAAAAAATTAGAGACAATTTACTAAATGCAGAGTTCAAAACAGTGGTTATAAGGATACTCAATGAATTTAGTGGGAACTTCAACAGCATAAAAAAGGACATGGAAACCATAAAAAAGAACCAGTCAGAAATGTAGGATACACTAACTGAAATGAAGAAAAATTTATAGGGTATCAACAGTACAGTTGATGAAGCTGAGTCAAATAAGCAATTTGGAATATAAGGAAGCAAAAAACACCCTGCTAGAACAGCAAAAAGAAAAGAGAATTTTAAGAAATGAGAATAGTGTAAGGATGCTATGGGACGACTTCAAGTGTATCAACATTCACATCATGAGGATGCCAGAAGGAGAAGAGAGAGAGAGAGAGCAAGAAATTTAAAACTGCCCTGGCTGGTGTAGCTCAGTGGATTGAGCTCAGGCTGCGAACCAAAGTGTTGCAGATTTGATTCCCAGTCAGGGTACATGCCTGGGTTGCAGGCCATGACCCACAGCAACCGCACATTGATGTTTCTCTCTCTCTCTCTTTCTCCCTCCCTTCCCTCCCTAAAAATAAATAAATGAAATCTTAAAAAAAAAAAGAAATTGAAAACCTATTTGAAAAAATAGTGACAGAACCTGATGAAAGGAGTAGACATACAAATCCAGGAGTGCAGAGTCCCAAACAAGATGAACCCAAAGAGTCTCACACCAAGACACACAATGATTAAAATGCAAAAGCTTAAAGACAAAGAGAGAATCTTAAAAGCAGCAAAAGAAAAGCAGTTACTTACCTACAAGGGAACTCCCATAATACTATCAACTGATTTCTCAACAGAAACATTGCATGGCACAAGAGATTGGCAAGAAATATTCAATATGATAAAAAGCAAGACCTACAACCAAGACAACTCTACCCAGGAAAGCTATCATTTAGAATGTAAGGACATATAAAGAGCTTCCTAGTCAAGGAAAAGCTAAAGGAGTTCATCACCACCAAACCAGTATTCATGAAATGCTAAAGGGTCTTCTTTAAGAAGAAAAAATATTTTTTAAAATGGCAATAAATACATAACTATCAACAATTTAATCTTAAAAAATAATTGAACAGCACAAAATAGAAACAGACTCATAGGTACAGAGAACATTTTGATGGTTGCCAGATGGGAGGGGGGTTGGGAGCATGAGTTAAAAAGGTGAAGGGATTAAGAAATACAAATTGGGCTCTGGCTGGTGGTGGCTCTGCTGTTCAGTTAAGGGTTTCAGGCTCAATTCGCTGTCAGGGCACATGCCTAGGTTGTGGGTTCAGTCCCCAGTTGAGGCAT